AGGGAAAGGAGTTTGTAAGCCGCTCTGAGACACCTTTGGGTAGTGAAGGGCGGGGGATAAATCCAATCTCTTCTCTCTTCTTCTCTTCTCTTCTTGACAACGTCAACCACGCACTCCTCACCACCCCCTGCCCGAGCAGTCTCCTCCCTTCCTTCCCTTGCACCAGACGCTCGTGGGCCAAATAAGACCCCTGGGCCATATGTTTGACACCCCTGCCCTAAACGGTCTGGGACCTGGGACTGCCTCTCCTGATCTGGACACCCCCCCCCCCCATGTTCTTAATTTGCCTTACATTGGTCCACGAATAGCCCATTTGTCATCCACTAGGGCAAGGGCCTTCTTGGTGGCTGCCCCTGCCCTCTGGAACTAGCTCTCTCAGGAGGTTCATGTCCTGTGGGATTTGCTAAGTTTCCGTAGGGCATTCAAGGCTGCTGTGTTTTGTGCAGCATTTAATTAACCAAGAGAATGGGTGAGCCAGCTGCCTGTCCAGATTAGTTCCAGGGCCGACGACCGGTGGAATTTTAATTGGAATCTGTTTTATTGTACTTATAGGTTTTATTATCTATTTTAAGTTTTGATGCTGTGTTGTGAACCAGCCTGAGTCCTCTGTTGAGGAAAAAAAAAAAAAGAGTGCCAGTTATAAGTCGAATAAATAAAGAAGAAATTCCTGCAAAGCAGGTTATGCTGAGAGTGTGATGGAGCAAAGCTTGCTGAAGGTCAACTAGATGAATATCCAGGAGCGCCTTAGAGACCAACAGATCTCTGCCTGAGGTCTGGGAGAACTGCTCACAGCCAGAGGAAGTGCAGTTTTCATACGTATTTGCATGAAAAATTATACCGCCCAATTAATTGAAGACACCTTTTTAGTTGATCAAAATGTTTTTAATTGATCCTATTAATTTAGATCCTCATTTTCACAGGTACGGGAGACAGCAAATTACTAATTATGATTAAGAATCCAGACATTGTCCGAAGCAGAATTAAAATCAACGGCTTTGCAGTCTTATGTGTGTTTTTTAAGCTGTATTTATTCCACAGTCTGAAGTTTACAGTCTGCGGAACATGCCAGTCAGGCACTTATAGGTCTTTCTTATCTCGGATAGAGTTGAAAGAGAGTTGATAATTAAGAATCATATTTACTTCGTAGCTTCCAGTCACGGCTGATATCCAGTCCGTGGAGGCTAGACACTTGAAGATGGGCTAACACGAAGGTTGGGCTCTTCCGGGTTTAGCTAATGCCGGGCTCCCCAGCCTCTGTCAGCCTACAGACACCTTTGGAGTCTTGAGAGGGAATGGTGATCACCACCCCAAAATGGCTGCCGTGGGGGGGGGCGGAGCCAGACAAAAATGGTGGCCTCGGGAGGTGCGGCCAAACACAACGTTCCCCTTCCTTTTGCAAAAGAATTCTAGAAGAGGAATAAAAAGAAATGAAGGAGACGCTGATGAGGGAGCAAAGGAGAAAGAGGAGGGAGAGTAAAAAGAAGGGAAGTCTGAAGGGGGAATTGAGCCGCCAGCCTGAATGTTTCCCACTCCTCTCAGTCCTCCAAGGGCTGGATCTGCAGCTGCTATTGCGGCCCTGGAAAACCTTTTCTTTTGAACATGAGCAGCAAATGACAAGCCTTGCCTCACCGTGTCCCCACCCGCTTTCTGGAAACCTCCGTGGGTGCCAAGGGGAAGCATGAACGATCACCATGTTTCTAACTTCGAATCATAAGGAAATGTTTTAATAAATAAATAAACAGAGGGGGTCTCATTGAGGCACCCTGTCTTGGTGCTTTCTGTTGCCCGCAACTGTGTGATGGTATAGACTTTAAAGATATATTTGGCTGTTAGCTTCCTAAAGCTTTTTGCTGTCATTGAGTTAAAATATAGATATTAAATCACAGCCTTGAGGCTTTCTCCCCCCTGTTCACTGAAAACCAAAAACTGTCCTGTTACCAAAACTGCAATTGGGGTGCTATTGATTTGAATCACTGGTTGTAGGATGGTTTTCATTTTGTGCATCTGTGCGTGTGTGTGTTTTCCCTCCACGTATTGTCAACCTACAGGAATAAAAACAACGTATTTGAAAAGTAAATTAGAGTCCCACACAGCCAGCCTGACTGAATCCTTTTTTACAGCGCCCTGGTCTCATACATCCTATTAAAATATTCAATCTTGTTTTCTTCCTTCAAGAGCCTTGTCTGGAAAGAGCAAGCTTAGGAAGGGAAAAATCTCATTCCCTAGAGAGATGGAATCCCACCCCGGTGTGGTATTTACATATTTCCGAGCTGCACCAGAGTGGCATTACGCATAGACTCCCCAGCTCTTGTGTTTGCTAATAAAGGTTCTTGAGTGCATTTTTAATTATCTTGGGGCTTTTTTGCTCAAAGCCCTGCAATAGGGTGCCACCTGCCTGTTCTGATTTGATCTTGAAAAGTTGTTTTTCCCTCCGTTTACTAATCTGTCCTCTCAGGACTTGACTGCTGCAATGTTTTGTATGTGGGGCTGCCCTTAAAAACTGTTCGGAAACATCAGGTGGGCACAGAATGCAGGAAGGCATCACCTAAATGATGCCAGTCCAGTGTGAACACATTACGTCAGTGCACTAAAGCACATTGTGGCACGTGAGTGTTTTCACACTGCCACACGGGAATGCTAGTGGCCTGGTGTGGTGATTAGAGCAGTTCCCTGAAGTGCCACGCACCCTGTGCTTCAGGAGAGTGGGCAAAAGTCTTGCCTGGCGTGGTCTGTGGCAGGCAGGCGGCTCCTACCTTGAGACAGCAGCCACCGGATGAATGGAAAAGCTCCATGAGGTGCAGGCCTCATGCTGGGGACGGAAGTGAATGGGGTTTTTTTGGGTTGATGAAATGCCGAATGTGGCTCTCCTTGACCTGTGGAGGGGGTACCACTGGATGATTTATTTATTTTCTCTTCACCGTACCCCGCTTTCCTCCCCAGTGGGGACCCAAAGGGACTTATATCCTTCTCCTCCATTTTATCTCCACAACAGGAACAACCCTGTGAGGGAGGTTAGGCTGAGAGTGTGTGACAGGCCCAGAGTTACCCCGACAGGCTTAGTGGCAGAGTGGGGATTTGAACCCGGGTCTCCCAGATCATAATCTGACACCATAACCACACTGGGATTAGAGCACTGAGCTCGGGACCAGGGGTCAGATGCTCTCTCCCCCCCCAAGCCATAAAGTCCAGTGAGTAACCTAGAGCCCGTCCCTGTCTCTCGCCCCGTTTGGCGCAGTTTTGAAAGCTTCGCCTCCATTCTAGCCACTGGAGAGGAAGGGCGGTTTCTCTTGGATCCAGTCAAGGGGCTGAACGAATATCAGGTTCCAAGCGGGGGGGTCCACACCAGCCTCAGCTCCCTGGTCTGATGACTGTCGAATTTGGTGGAGTTAAAATTCGGTTTTGGTCCAAATTGCGCCTTGTTGCGAGGGCTCTGCTGTGGCATGAGGGGACAGCCTGGAAGGGACATTGGTGGCAGGGGAAAGATGGCTGCCGGAAGCCTCCTGCCCCTACAGAAGGCCCGGTGGCCCTCCATGTTATTTGTTACAGACTAAGTCAGGGTGTCAGGGCAGACAACACAACTCGTCATTGTGAGCAATGAAAATTCCTGTCTCAGTGTACTTAGCGCTGCTGGCCTCAGACCCCCAAATGTCATGGAGGCTTTTGTTGGTCTTTGCCTGGAGGTGAATGATAAAATTACACCGACTCCCCCTCTCACACATCCTCTTTCTCCCTCTTTCTCTTTCCCCACCAGAACTGAACTTTATCGGTCATTATTCGGCAAGAGAGCTCATCTTGAACAAGGTGACCAGCCTTAGGAGCCACGAGAGCGGAGCCGTTTGCTGTGTTCAATCCACTTCCACGACACAGCGACACCCCCGGCCCTTCCTCTCCAGCTGTCACTTCCATGGAGTCCGTTCTGCGGCCACTGGTGGAGTTTGGCTGAGTGGAGTGAGAGGCAGGAGGGGGGGCGCCCGCTCCTCTTCCGCCTCCCCCCACCGTCTGCATTCTGCCCAACTTCGCTGCCCTTCCCCACAGCAGGCGCCTTTGAGACGCGGACTGATCGGTGCTCAGGAAGGCATCAGGCAGAGCCACCCTGCTGGAACGTGTCAACTCAGTATCAAGCGTGAAACAGGCCCTGAGAGGCTGGTGCAAGACCTGAAAGGCTGGCAAAGCGAACCTCTTCCGAAGTCTCGGAGGAGCTGTCGATAGGCCCAGACCTAATGAAGGCAGAGCGCAGCGACCTCCTCACACACAAAGACGGCTCATCGGAAAGTCCCAAAAGAGTTTTGCATCACCTTGTGTAATGGGATGCCTCCAAATGGGCCTGCGACTCATCGGAAATTGGGCCCGCGTGTTTTGCTAGAGAAAGAACTTCCACTCTTTAATGGATGTTGCCGCTGATTACTCTTCTCTTGAACGGGGCTCAGCGTTTTAGATCCCTGACTTGCGGGGGGTGGGGGAGGACGACTTTTTCTGATTTCTCCTACATACGTTTTGGAAAATGCAGGAAGGGAATTATCAACCTCAACAGCGGCCCTCTCCATCGACACCCTGAACTTCCAAAGGTTCTATTTATTAGTCTTCTGATCAATAGTTCCCAACCGGACCAGCCCATGAAGTCTCATTGCTCTTTAGATGTAATAATATGTAATCCATAAAAGCTTGTGAGTTTTTCTGCAACTGTAGATCTTGTACGCATTTAATTATTGTTGCTGAATTCACCGAGACCTCTTTCCTCCCAGCAGAGAGAGGCTGCATGTCGGGGTGAGGCCTGGTGTAAATCTCACAAAGGGAAGATGATTCACTTGTTTTTATTCAGAAGGTCAAAAAGCTGGAAATTAAATCCCCATAAAGTGGATTTATTAGCTTGCTATGATCAATCTCCATTGGAGATTATCTTGCATAAATAATATGTGCATATGTAACAGAATAGCGGCAGTGGCAGTCTTTGGAGTCGCGCCCTCCCCCCCCCCCCCCAACACCTCAAAAAAAATTTATTCAATAAAATAGTTTACTTCGTAAGCTTTGAATGGACATTAACATCATAAGTAGTTTTTCCTTTTTTAAAGAATTATTCAGTTCTTGTTGTTAGGGATCGTAATCTAGGGGGTTTAAAAATGAAGTTGTCTTGCTGATGGCTAATGCACACTAGGGGCATGACCACATGAGTTGCCTGAATAAGGCCCGTCACGGAAGGGGGTGGGTGGAAAGTTCTGGTCTTCTCAACTTGTTGCTCAGGGGTAGAGCACATAGTTTGCACAGAGCAGGCCCGTGGTCTTAAGGTCTTTTGCGTGGTCTCACAGTTCCTTCTCTGTACCTTGGGGCCAGGCAACCATCTTATGGCCCAAGGGCTAAAAAAAATAAAAAGGCAACATCTTCCTTTGAAGCGGATGGTGTGCTGGCAAACAAAATGGGGGGGGGAGGGGTGTCCATGGAGACAAACTTGGGCCAAGCCTCTCGATGATTTGCGTTGGACTCAGCTGGTAGCTGTGCGGGGGGGGGGGCTTGGGGGCATTACAGTCCGCCTCACTGCCGGACCCAGCTGGGCTCCCACGGCCTCATTTTCTCAATCAGAGTTCCGGCCTTGAGTAACAAGCAAAATGGCCCAGTGCCACGGTTGTCACCTGGACAGGGGGAGGCCTACAAATCCCCGTCGGCTGCAAAACGTGTGCTATGTAAAGATTATATGTGTTGTCCTCCCTTACTCCTATAAAGCATTGTTAATCCCTTGTGAAATGAGTAACTGTAAATCGCTCAGAGCCAGCAGCTCTGCAAGGATTGAGCGATCAATGAATTGAAAGATTATTATTATTATTATTACCAGGTGCCCACTAATGGCGGATAAGCGCCTGGTAGTTGTTGGCGATGCCGGGCAACACTCATTGGATCAGTGGGTGGAAGCAGGCCCAGCAAGACGGGGGAGGGGAGGGGCAGTCTTCATGGCTGCAAGACAGTGTCACTTCTGGCATGACCTGGAAGCGCTGGAAGTGACCTCATCTCATGGTGACAAAGATCGCCCCCCCCCCCGGTAAGTACCTGCCTCCCCCACCTCCCCCCACTTCCCTACCTCTCCTGTACTTTTCAATTCAGTCTCACATCAGGTGTTTAAGGCTTTTTTCTTTCTTACATCAGAACAGAGCAAGTAAGTCCACCCCAAACTGCATACTCTACAAAATGAAGCAGAAGAAATGGGTCACACCCCTAATGGGTGTGACACCCCTAATTATTTCAGCTCCAGCAAGAGCATAAACAAATCTACTTTCAAATGTCATTACTGGGCTGTGTCTTTGTGGCCCACGAGGGCTGGAAACGCACTCCGTGCTTCTCATTTGTTCTGTAAAGGATGCGGCAGTCTTCCCACGCTGAAGGCCACATCCAGTACCAAACCCTGTGCTTGCTCAGCATGGTCACGCAATACCCTGGGTGCTAAAGCTAAATTAAGAAGAATTAGGAGGATGCCTTGTTTCAAGGCTTCTTTCAGGAAATGGAATTGCAGCCAGAATTCTATATCCGTGGACTCTCCGAGGCACAGAACGAGAACATCTGTGTGTCCCCCCCCCCCACCCCGCAGTGTGAAACTTTTTCCTCCCTCTAGGGTGCAGAAAGTATCTGTGTCAAGGTGAGTATTGACTTTTGTCTTGGAAAATGTATGTCGCATGGATGAATAAATCTTTATGCGTACTTGCAGCAAAGCCGTGGCCGTAGATCTTAGAGATGCCCATTGATTTTCCCCTTTCTTTTCCCCTGCTTCGCTCTGCCTTCGCCCTTCTCTCTTTCGCTGGCTTTCTGAACCGTCAAAACACACCAGGCAGAAACTTCTGAGCATTTTGCGCTTGACCCCTCCGCGTTTGCCATTTCTGTTTCCTGCATCTTTTGCCATAAAGTTCTCCAGAACTGCGGCAACTTCTGCAAAACTGAGGGGGCCTGGAGACGCCAAGGAGGGGGGGTGACCCAAGGATGCTGCTCGGGTCTGCCTTTATGTACACACTGTGCCTTTTAAAGTTCGTACTGTTGGACGAGTCGGTAGGGGAGGGGAGAATCAAATAGCTCCTTACCAGATTGTGCACGGAGTGTTGCATAAATCAGGGTTCTGAAACATTTAATTACTTGAATTCCCCAAACTTTTGATACCTCTTTTGATTCCGCTTCCCCCCTGGATTACAAGTGGCAGCACACTGTTCACTCGTGGGGGGGGGGGGATATGTGTTTTCTTGATCAGTTCCCCAAACAATGGGCAGGCATTTTCCTCATAGCCGCCATTCATATCACCCTCCCCTTTCCCCTGGGCTGGGTTTTTGGTTCCACCACAGCTGCACTGTGGGCTGTGAAAAGTCTAATGACTGAGTTAGGAATTGAGGAGTCTCTGGTTCAAATCTCTCCTGCCACAAACTCACTCCATGGTCTTCAGCAGGTTGCTCTCTCAGCCCCCGGAGCCAAAATCTTACAAGAGAGTTGGAAGGAATACAGCAAGATATTTAAGCAGTCATGGAATGCAGACAACAACAGCAACTGACTGAAGAATTTTAGTTGATGAATTTATTTTCTAATTGATTGAATGGACTGATTTAAACTTAACTCTTGTATGTCATCCAAACCCTAATATTGGTGCATTTTGAGATACTGAAGTGTGTGAGAGAGCTTTTGTTTGTTCAGTAGTAAGTTATGCCTTATTCACTGAAATAACTTCTCTCTGGTAATATTTTTGTTCCTGATCACAGTAACTGCGCAGAAGCAAAAATTATCTTTAGAAACTCTGCTCTGACTCCCCCCCCCCCCTTTAGAATTTGCTCTTCCCACCAAGTGACGGGTGAGCACCGTGTTCTGGATGCTGCACTGTTGGAAACTGACCGACAGTGTTGCAGGCCAAAGTAATACCCCTCTGTCAGGATCAGGCCTGTGCCACCAGAGGCCTACTAGGCCCAGGGAGCCTGGCTAGCAGTAAGGGAGGCTGGGCCTACAACTTCTTGTTTGACCTATAAAATAAACTATTTCTGGTGGACTCAGGACAAATGGATAGTCGGATGACTCCAGGATCCTGGCCGGACTGTCCGCCCCAAAAGGGATGCCTGTGGCAAAGGGGAGGGAGGAACCCCTGGTGAAGGCCAGGCCCATTGTAACACAACAGAGACAACTCCACAGCCACAAAATGGCCAGTTCAGATTTCCCCTGTCTAGGCGGTCTCAGGCAAGGAATTGGCTCAGCCCCTGTGAAGTTTTCCTACCTTACAGGGTTGTGGTAAAGATTATTTTTTTGGGGGGGTGTTCTGTGAAGAGCTTGAAATACCCCGAAGAGATGGTGTATGCATAAATGCTAAATATTATTTTTAAGACTAGGGAGTCGGCAGGATTAGCGTCCATTCTTGGCACAGGATTATAATTGGCACACCAGGGCATGCGTTTCCTTTCTCCCTTTTGACTCCACCGTCCTTTCTAAAGTCGCCTCCCGCTGCCGGCCGGCCCCTGGCTTCCTTTCCAAGCTGGGCAGCATGTTAAAAGGCTAGGGCAGAAGCACTCCAAAATGCTGATAAGGCTTGTTTCATATTGTTGGCAGAGAGAAGCGGGAGGACGTGCGCGAGCCGCTCAAAGCCTCTCCGAGTGGGTGTCCCGGTTTTTCGCTTATCAGCATTTGAGCAGGCTTTTGATTCCCCACACACATAACACCTGTGGGCCACGCCACCCGAGAACACCCAGGGCTGGGAGCTGTAGCTGCAAGAGCCCCCCTTTTATCCACGAACCTTGCTCCTCGTAAGGTCAGGTCTCCCCAACATAAAAAATGGGATGTTTCTGGAGCTGGCAGAAGAAACCGGAGACCTGTACGTACAATAGTCCCAAAGCCTTAGACCTTTGCAGAAGCTTTTTGAGGGCTGCAGTTAATCAGTTCTGTTTGTGGGGCAAGACATGCGGATGCCAATACGAATACTTAGAGACTTCCTAAGGTAGTACCGTGTTTCCCCGAAAATAAGACACTGTCTTATATTTATTTTTTCTCAAGAAGACACACTAGGGCTTATACCACAAATGCATAGAAATCCTGCTAGGGCTTATTTTTGGGGTAGGTCTTATTTTCGGGAAAACGGTAGTAGTAATTCCTCCCCACAGACCTGCGGTTCTCTCTCTTCCCACGAGTGAGAGGGCTGCGTCTGACCAGCTTTCCCACTCCTCCTTTTTCTATTCCCGGCCTTGGAGTAGCTTCACCCCACCCAGCTTTCCTCCACACGGTCCCAGGGTCCTCAGAATACTCATTTTTAGTGGGCCAAAAGAGTCCCCCTCCTTCCTTTTTTTGCAAATCAAAAAGCTGATGGGGGACTGCCTGAAGCATTTTTGTGTGCTCAGTAAATACCTTGGAAGTTCCAGAAGTAGGGTTTGTTTTTTTAAATTAAATGCTAATTGATTGGGTTTTTTTTTACAAACTTTATATCCAGCCTTTAACTTGAAAAAGGTTTTTTTCAAAGTTGTTTACTGCCTAGCAAAGGCCACAATTGTATATGTAAGATATTAATTCAAAACAAAGCACAAAACCACTGCGGTGAAACACAGTTGTAAAAAGCAGGATTATAAAACAAAAACCTGCCACCAAAAACAACCTGCTCAAAAAGTCTGCCAGAAAAGGATGGTCTTCACCAGGAACTCAAATCTGCCATGGAGGAGAAGGCCCTGCGGGGGTGGCTGTCACCGAGAAGGCCCTGCTCTCGTTGGGGCCCAGTCTGGCGTCCGTCCGTCCAGGAGGACAGCCGGGCCTCT